ACAAATTATTAGAATAAATTACTAAACCAGCATACTCACTAACAGCCATCTGTAGCACAAATAATAAAAACTCAGACACAGCTATTTCAGTTCAAGATGAAAATAAGAATATCAAAGCAGCTAAGTTCCCAAAGAGCTCTTACCTCTACCAAGGTTGGGGACATCCTGTCCTCAAAGAGGCTGTAGGCTGATTGCCCAAGAATTAATACAACCAGACCCTGCTCCTGTCTTATACACCTCTCTAGTGAAATGATTAAAGGTATGTGCTCTTTCTTAAGCCATGTGTGATTTGAACTCACAGAGATACATCTTCCTCTGTCTCATGAGTTCTGCAATTAAAGATGTGTGCCATCACTGCCTGGTCTCTATGGCTGTGGATAGCTTTGCTTTCTGATCTTCAGGCAAGCTTTATTAGATCATAAACAATTTATCACCACAACAATCTGTAAACATTTGTCCCAATACCTACAGATAATTTTAGCCTTCACCGGCCCATTCCCCCAGCAGAAAGGAAACTTCTCTTCACAACAGAATAGAGCATTACAGACTAATAAAAAACAGAGTTGTTGAGGGCATATCCAGTGGCTAAGTCTGCAAAACCATTCACAAGCCTAACCCCCAGGAAACATTTGATTGGGGGATGGAGGTTCAGGGAATTTTATTTGAGATTGTGTCTCCTAGTAATATCAGAGGGTAAAGCCATGCCTATCAACATGTCTGCTTAAACATGTGAAACTGAGTGGGGACAAAGTCAAAGACCTGCCAAAATGGTCAGGAGAATGACCTCTAGATATTCATTCCACACAGAACATAACTAAGAAATGTTGAGAGATGGAAGGAGTAATGTTCTTCCCAGAGAAAAGCATATCATCTGTCATTCAATACCACATAGTCAGTCCTAAGAAAATATATGCAAGGAATATCAAGTAGTGATATATTATTTATGATTTTCAATGCTTGTTTGATTAAGAAAGCAAAGTCATCATCAAGTGAAAGAGATAAGACAGTGGTGGTGCACATCTCTAATCCTAGGACTCAGGTGGACAGATCTCTATTAGTTCAAGACCACCATGGCCTACACAAGAGTGAAGAGTAACAGGGCTCATGCTTTTGATCCCAACAATGGGAACTACACATCTTTAATTCCAGCATTAGGGAGGAAGGTCTCAGAGCAGACATTCAGTCTCAGCTTTCTCCAGCCATGTCGAGGAGAACATAGCAGTCTGGGATTGCAGTCTGGGATTACAGTCTGAGATTACTGTCTGAGGTTTGGTAGAGCCAGGATCACCTTTCAGTCTGATGTAGAGGTAAGAGTTAGTGACTGTGACATATTCATGGACAGCGTTTGTGATTTCCAAATAGCAAAGGAGAAAGTGAACAATTAAAAATTGTCCAGCCAGAATTTATGGAAGTAAATGTCACCTGGGTACAGGTAGGGAGTAAGTGCCTCAATAAAGTATTTGAAGCCAGGGATATTTCTCTCCTTTGAAAATGAGAAGCTTCCTTTAAAACAGCCCATCAATTCATTCCACCCATATAATATAGACTCTAAGTAAACTAATTTTGGCTTTGCCATGATCACACCTTGCTTCTGCTTAACATGATTTCATTGTCCAGGTAACAAATCAGCAAGTCATCTGTATCAACACAGAATATATACAAATTTACTTGCATATGTTGTTTCAAATTCACCAACCCAAATCCAGACATTAACTGAATTTTGCAATTAGTTGGGAGTTTTTCTGTATAAGCCACACAGATATCTTCTGATGCAATCTCTGCTTTCAGGTCAGAGAGAAACTCCTTTCCTTTCAGGTCATCAGCCACAAGGAGCCCCACCCAGTTCCAGACAAAGTGCAGCAATAAATAGATCACCCCTTGGGTCAGAGCTGTGTCTTTAGGAGACATCTGGTACAGGCATGGGAATGTATCTTTGTCACTTAGCACAGCATCAAAAGTTCCATATGTGATCTAAAGAAGCAAAGCAAAAAATTAGGTGATTCCAAGTTTTCAGGAATTTTTAGTCATCCCCTTAAAAAGAATTGAGTTCATTATTCACACAAGAGTATCAGGGATAGAGGATGTATCAGATAGTAAACTGATAAGAACAGATACTATACTCGATCTTAGACAGAATGCTGAGAAGGATAATGAGAAAGGGAGAAGAGAAGGGCTGAGGAAGACATGATGGGACAGGGAGGTTGAATTTGGGGAAAACAGAAGAGAGTAAAATAGAGATAATATAATAGAGGGAGACATTATAAGTTCAAAGAGAAGTCAGGCACTAGGGAAATGTCTGGATAGCTACAAAGATGACACCAAGTAACAATCTAAGCAACAGAGGAGAGGCTACCTTAAATGCCCTCTTCTGATAATGAGATTGATGACTAATTCATATGCCATTGTATAGCCTTCATCTAGAAGCTGGTGGAAGTAGAGGCAGACACCTACATCTAAACCTTGAACTGAACTGAAATCCAGAATCAGAGAAGGACTGATGAGCCAAATGGTCCATACCAGGCTGGTGAAACCCACAGAAACAGCTGACCTGATCAAGGGAAAACTCTTGGTCCCCACACTGATAGCTGGGAAACCAGTATGGGACTGATCTAGACCCCCTTAATGTGGGTATCACTGAGGAGACCTTGGAAATCTATGAACCTCTTGTATTGGATCAGTACATTTCACATGTAAGTCTCTTCTCCCTCTCCCTGCCCTTACCCCATCCCTCCTCACCCACCCCATCCACCCACCCCTCCCCAGGCAGGGCAGAAACCTCAATGGGGGCTCTGCAACATCCACAAAATCTTCCTTTGCTGGTCCTGGGCACTTCCCCATGTGTCCAGGGCCAGAGTGTAACCCTTCACCAGGGATGGGCTCTCAAAGTCCATTATTGTACCAGGGAATATACTAATCCACCACCAGAGGCTCACTGGAGTGCAGAGGCTTCCTTATTGACATCCATGTTCAGGGGTCTGGATCAGTCTAGTACTGGCCTCCCCGACAGAACCTGGAAGCAACCTAGATGCCCCTCAACTGAAGAATGGAAAGAGAAAATGTGGTACATTTATACAATAGAGTACTACTCAGCAGAAAAAATCAATGGAATCTTGAAATTTGCAGGCAAATGGATGGAACTAGAAGAAACCATCCTGAGTGAAGTAACCCAGTCACAAAAGGGAAAACATGGTATGTACTCACTCATATATGAATTGTAGACATAGAGCAAAGGATTACTAGCCTATAATCCTCTTCACCAAAGAAACTTGGAAACATAAAGGACTCTAAGGATAACTGCATGGACCCCAGAATTTGGAAAGGGTAAGAACTCCTGAGCTAATTGGGAGCATGAGGGTAGGTGAGAGAGAGCTGCCAGAATGAGAGGAGGAGAAGAGAAGAGGAGAGGAGGAAATGGAGGAGTAGAAATATTGAGTTGGGGGAAGAATCGAGGAGAGCAGGATGAGGGATACCATATTAGAAGGAGCCATTATAGGTCCGAAGAGAGATCTGGCACTAGGGAGATTTCCAGAGACCTACAAGGATAACACGAACTGACAATCCAGGCTAGGGTGGAGAGGATAACCTAAACGCCCTTCCCCTAAAATGAGAATTACGATTACTTTTTATGCCATCCTAGGGCCCTCATCCAGTGGCTGATGGAGGCCGAGACAGACATCCACAGATATACACTGAATTGATCTCTGGAACTTAGTTGCAGAGAGGGAGGAATGAAGATTGAAGGTTTGTTGTCAGGTTGGAGAAACCCACAGAGAGCTGGCCTTAACAAGTGGGAACACATCGACCACAGATGCTGTCTGAGAGGCCAGTACAGGACTGATCCAGACCCCTGAACATGGATGTCAATGAGGAGGCCTCTGCACTCTAGGAGGCCTCTGGTAGTGGATTAGTATTTTTCCCTGGTGTAAGAAGCTACTTTGAGAGTCCATCCCATGTGAAGGGATATACTCTTGCACTGGACACTTGGTTAAGGGCCTAGGCCCAGCCCAGGATGATGTGGTGGACTTTGTGGAGCCCCCATTGGGCCCTACCCTGCCTGGGGAGTGAATGGTGGATGGGGTGGGGGTATGTCGGGTTGGGATAGGAGGGGAGAGGGAGAAGGGATTGACATGCGAATCAAGTTTGTTCTGAATTTGAACTAATAAAAATAAGTAAATAAATAAAAATAAAGTAATGGTTGTAGATTTTCCCTTTAAATTTTACATTTGCATACTTATGCTTGTAGTTATATATATTATGGATATATTTAGAGAGACAGTTCATAGGACACTTGATTATGATTTTTCAGATATACCTTACAGTTATTAAACCTACTTCCTTATTTCAAGTTTCAATATTATTCATGTTTATGATTAACAATGAATTTAGAAGTTCGTGATGAATCACTACATTATTCACAATTTGAGTACTCCCTTTTACCCATTTCCCAAATCAAATCACTTCTACCTTGATATTCTACCCTCCATTGCTTCCCTACCCTCTCATGGTTTCTACACTTATCTCAGGGTGAATCCTCACATCTAAAGATTGTAACTAGATGCCTCAGAATAGAGAGAATATGTGTCATTTGTCTTTCTGAGTCTGAGTTACCTAACTCAACATATATTTTTCTATCTCTACCCATTTATGTGTACAACATTTTCATTATCCATTTATCCACTGAAGGACATTGAGGTGTTTCCATTTCCTATATATTATTAAAGAAAAGCAATGAGAATGGCTAAGAAAGTATCTCCAGAGTAAGATGTCAATTCCTTTGTGCATATGTCAAGGAACAGTAAGATTTATCTTTAGTTTTTTAAGAATTCTTCACCTGATTTCTGGAGTTTGGATGTGTTTGCAAGATCCTTCAGCAGAGGGAAAGTTCTTTGCTTGCTCTATGGAAGTATCTAAA